AGTGTGTAGTACTGTGGTTAGGGGAGTCCCCTCTCCTCACAGAAAGGCAATGATGCTTATTTACTGATGGAGTTGGAGGGTGGATAATTACTTTGGCGCTCTGTGCATCTACTCAGCTTCCTAATGGGATGACTTCACAGTCTTAGGAGCAGGGGGGATTGTGTCCTGTAAGGATGTCCTTGGGAAATCCACAGAAATGGAATTTTCCTATCCTACAAATGTGCCTGGATTCTCAGCCTTTATTCCTAACCCCAGGTCTCCTTGAGAATTTTCCCTCGTCTTTTATCACACTAGTTACTCTGAGGCCTTTTTTTTCGGAAGACTTTCAAACGCTGGTGCCTCCTGTGCTTTCCCTTCTTCCTTCCCATCCCTGCCTCATTAACAAAACCACTAAAACACAGCACCTTCATATGCCCTCCCTCCACCCCAGAAATCCCAAAGCCAACCACATACATGTGTATACACACTTGAGGTGGCTTACGCATTACTTTTTCAGAGCTTCTTGGTTTGGGAAGAATCCTTATGGTGCATTTCCACAGCACTGATTACTGTTTGTGGCTCTTGAGACTTCTTGGGTCAGCAGACTTGCTTAAAAGTATGAGCTTTTCTAACTGTAGTCAATAATGGATCCAAATACTAATTACAGCTGCAGTAATGACAAGTGCAGGATCTTGTGCCTGTTAAGAGCAAAATAGTAATGCCATAGGGCTTTTTCTTAATCCTCAGACCGACATCCTGAAACCAAAGTTAGACGTGACTAATGGTAAATGCTAAGCTAAGTAAAGTAAACACCATTTACTTGCTCTCTCCCAAAACTTACACTGACTACTATGGTCTCTGGAAGTAGAGCTTATTTAATAAGAAAACTGACTTTCTGCACCTTTGTTTCTTCTCTGGACTTTTACTACTTGTACTCAGACAAATTGAGAAGTGTTCTCATTCCCTGTGTCACAGGGGAGTTTTCTCTCCAGGAAAACCATATTCTCTCTCTCTTTTGCTATTAAGGTCATGATGCTGTGAGTATATTAGGATTGAGAGACAAAAATAAGAGGGAAAATAGGTACATCTCCAAAGGAAGGTGTGCTTTAGGGCAGAACAGGACACCTGTAGGAAATGTGATTACTAGGGCCTTATGATATCAGGAAACATAAAATTCTGTTGAAGAAAATCCGTTTTCAAAAAGTGACAGAACAAATCAATTGGTACAAGTAAAACTTTTCCTGGGTGGGGGGAAAAACCCCCAAAACTTTCTTCCTTTTGACTTCCATTCTTGAAGAAGGACTGCAAGTGCAGGAGGATTTCCCATACCTTAATAGGCAAAACATTTTGCAGTACAAAATTTTTGTGTAATAGGATTTTGGAAAAAAGCTGAGAAAGTATTGAATGAAATGACTAAGTTTTAAGTATTGAAACTAAACATCTGAAATATGACCTCAATTAGTGGAGTGAGTAGGTTTTGGTATATTTAAAAGAATTTTGTGCCCTTCAGGTGGGTATATGAGATGTTAGCTGTTAGGAAAGTTTCTTGTGAAGCCACATAGTTACACCTCCAAAAGTCTATCTAGGAGATGAAAGTCACTGTACTTTAAAATTAGGTAGGCAGTCATGTATATGTATATTAGTACTGCTTTGGTGGAAGAGCAAATACTTGAAAGCTACGCTAGAAACCTTAAGAGTAGCAAATAATTCTCCAGTTGCGGAGAGAGACCCTTCCATTCATGTCTGTGGCTTCCTGCAAGAAGCCAGGAAGTGGCTAGGAGTTTCTCTTCATTGCTGTGTGTATTTTTAGAAATGAAGTATTAGACCGTAGATTAAGAAGAAACTTGTGTTCAGGATGTGTGTGGTAAAGAGAACATATTTTCATTATAGAGTAAGCATTAGCCAGTAGGGGGAAAAAGTTGGAGATTATTTAATCCCATTACAAGAAAGTTTCTATGAAATCTATTTGTGCACTTTAAAAAGAACGAAAAAACCAAACATGAGAAACAGCAGGATGGAGGAGTGAAGAGAAATAGATCATAGCTGAACGATACTATTGAATGATCGGACAGATGCTCAGAAACAGGATAGCAGGGGAGCTAGCGTGGTCACGTAGCTGTCACTGACAGGAACATGTTGCTACCAGAACAGCTCTGGATGCTCCTCATGAGTTCATAGACTCACCAAATGTATTTCTCAATAACAAGTGAAATGATGGTAAGAGGCATTACAATAGTATGAACCAGATGATGTTTCCTAAAGCTCCTGCTGCTTCTGTAGATTACAAGTTTTACCTGTAAAGCTTATTCGTTTCTAGGAAAGAGAGTTGGGTGGGGAGACAGGCAAGGATTTGCTTCTGTTTCCCTTCTTTAAGTCTGTGCTGTAAATGACTTCAAAGAGGAGCAAAAGAACCTGAGGCATGCTGTGCATTTTGGGAGGGGTTCTGTAAACAGTCTGAAGTCATTGCCCTCTGTTAGTCAACAGGGTCAAAATAGGAGTAAGTGTTAATGCAGCATAACAGCAGGACATCTCTATATTGTGCAAATCATGCTATATAAGGACTAATAATATATAAAGGACCCTTGGACATACTTCTGGTTATCAACCTGGGTTGATACTTACTGGAATTACAAGGGAAAAGCTCCTTCCTCTCTTTGGCTGCTTTATTTTCCTGTGTGATCCTGCTGGCCTTTTTCAGCCCAACCATGTCACCGTTGTTCAAGAGTGAGTCATGGTAGTGGGAAGAATCTTTGTGGGAGAGCATGACTGCCTGAGCCTATTAAAAGCAGTGTCAGTTTGAAGTTACCTGCTTAGAAATAACACAGAATTTGCCATTGCAGCAGCTGGTTAATAAGCAGTTATGCTCAACTGAACAAAAAAACCCCAGTTGTAACCAGAAGGATAGCTGCTACTTCTGAAACGAAATACAGCAGTGATTAGTCACACTGCCACTTATCTGTGGTATGATTTCTCACCCTTCTCACACCTAGTTTTAGAACAATATAAATCCGTCTGCTGGTAGAAGGTGCAAGAACGGCTTTGGGCAGTTCCTGTACAGCTGCTGGAGTTGGTGAAGATGCACCCAGAACTGATGAAGCCTGTAGCCAACTGCATGTGTTCTGCAGGTCATAAAGCAGCTCCAGATCTTCTTTATGACTGGAGATGACTCTTTTAGTATGGAAATTAAGTCTTCATGTAGATACTAAATCCAAGTTTCTTTTTTTGATGCTTTGTCAAGCAGAAAGAAGACCAGAATACAGGCTGTGTAAACGAGATTCAAAGACTATTTTACTGGTCATTCAGTGTCGTGGGCTGGCATCTTTCCAAGTTTGCTTTTTGCCTCATTTTCTTCCTCTGTTAAGTAAACCTGGTTTCCCACCTATCTGCAGCTGCATAACGCTTTTTCTTTCTAATGTGACTACACATCTGTGCCAACTGTCAGAAATGCTTACATGGAAAAAACTTTATTACAGCAAGGTATTTTTAGCTGCTGTAAGAAGAGTTTAGTGGGAATAGGAAGAAGAAAGAACAGCCAGTATCAAATCATCAGCCAGCTCTTTTTAGGCTACCAGCATGTGTTCCTTGGACCCACCTCTGCTCCATTTGGCACTGAGGTAGTATTCTGATCTACTGTTGGTAAATCCAGAAGCAGTATTAATATAAGACCATTAGAACACCTTTTGTTAAAAAACCTGTGTGACAGCTAATTTTTTAAGTGGCTAAACAGTATTTTCCCTAGTGGTGAAATTAAGGTCCCCAGCCAGTTCAGGCTTAGCTGTAGCTTCTTCAGAGTCCAGTGTCATCCTGACCTTGCTATTAAAGAACACTGGTTATGGATAGCGTTGATCTTTTTGATGCTCCATTTACAGTTGAAAAACTCAGCATGCCAAAACTATGATGCAAGTTACGCAGAGAAACCAACCAAACATTCCCTAAATGTTTAACTTCGGAAAGTATCACCTTTGCATCTACAGTGCATGCTCTATGGCTGTATTTACATTGTAAATATAATGCTTCTAAAAGGTAGCCATGGCTTTTGAAGTTGGCCATGGAGGGATTTAACAGAAGTTTAGTGTGCTGTCTTGGTGCTTGAAGCCTGTGTTTTAGTTAGCTTCTATGATTTCGCAAGACTGTCAATTAAGGTTTTGTACTTGACCTGAAGTTCCTAGATGGTACTGAAAAGATGTACTTGAAATGTTAAATATAACTTCCAACTGTATTGTTCTTCTCCATAAATATGGTAACTATGGTGCCTTTTTTGGGGACTGGATCAAGTTCCAGAATAAATTCAATGTTTACAGGGTGGATTTGAGAAGCTCCTCTTAAAGCTGAAATGTCTCTGTCCCAGACAGCCCAGAGAAGGAGATAAAAGCAGGGTCTTAGATTAGATGGGAAAGTAATAGAGTTAAATACTGTGAATTTGAGATAACTCATCAAAAGCATACATATACACAACATAAATAGAGCTGAGGGGAGAGAAAAAGCATGAACTGCACATACCCACTTGCTTACCAGAGTGGTAACATCGTTAACATGCAGCTAAAAAGGACTAGGAACAGCTGGAACTCAATGAAATACACCAGTGACAGCTGAGGAATGCGATCCTACATGTTATCAATCATTTATCAAGTTAGTTCTGATGCCTCATTACAGCTGGAATATTATGCCAGAAGTTGGTAAGACTAAAGGTGACTGGAATTGAGAATAAAGTTTAAAACTTGTCACTTCTATGTATAGTATATGTAAACTTTCTAAAGCTGTTTATGGTCTCCCTGCTCAGACCAAGATGGGGCTCCCTGTATTTGGAGGACTAAATCTGGATGGTTGCCAGCTATTTTTTTTGTGAAAGACTTACCTGTAGTTAATGCAGGAGTAAAATACTGGTTTGACTTCCACTGGATTCTTATCATGTCTCTGAACATGAATTTCAACTCAACTCTTTGAACAGACCCAAAACAATTTTACGTGATTACTGCTTCTGTATTTACTGCATTTTATAACAACTTTTCTTTTCCTTTTAGCTTTACCTTCAAGCCAGAATGAAAGGAGACTGGGCAAGACTTGTACGTCCTACTCTACAATTTGGTCTTATTGCTGCATCTATCTATGTGGGTCTCTCGCGTGTTTCTGATTACAAGCATCATTGGAGTGATGTTTTAACAGGACTCATTCAGGGAGCAGTGGTAGCTGTGCTCATTGTAAGTAATTCCTGAGGGGTGTGTATGTGTGTGTAAATGCTTTTTTTTTAAACAGCACCTTAGAATTGCAGGCTGTGTTCAGAGGAAAGCAGACCTGTCTTCTAATGCTTTGAAAATTGCTGGAGAGGGGATACAACTCCTTGAACTGGGTGTAGCAGTAGTACTTCGGGGATTGAGGCAGACTCTGGGCCAATGATGAGATAAGTGGCCATTTTAGCTGTTAGATGACATATGAAATTGTCCCTGCCCAACAGCTTTTCAAATAACACAAACAGTCAACTGCAAAACTGTGTGGGCCTCTCTATAACCATACCTTTTGTTGCTTCTAGCCAAATTCTAAATCTCAAGTACAATAGCAAAGGAGAACTGTGTACAAGGTAAGCAGAGAAAAAAAAAAAAGGGCCTTTAAGGATAAGGGCAACAACAGCAAAGTATTTGCCTCTTCTCTGCCAGCTTATACAGCCTGCTTTTTTCAGTCTGATGGGAAACTAAAATCCTTCACCATTTCTTGTGTGCATTTTGAATGCTAAAAGGGTGTTCACAACATCTAGCATGTGAAGCTTAGCTGTACTGATCAGGGAAAAGCTGTCCCAAGGAACAGAGAATTGGCTAAACTTGGAGCTGCAGGCCCAGTTGACTTAGCAGCAGCAGTTGTGCTGGCTGTCACCAGAGTGCCATGGTTGAGTCATCCATGGGAATGGACAGATCAGAGAGACTTCTGGTTCAGAGACATGAGCGAATTGAGGTCATACTGAAGAATTCAGTTACCAAGAACTGAGGCACACCAGGAAGAACCACCTCCAAGATAAATGTTTTCTCACTTTAAAGTTGGAAGGGTATGGTTCATTTCAAGACAAAGCTTTGTTTACTTGTTGCAGTCAATCATCAAAACAAATGCTGGAGCAGCTCTGGGAAACCCTACATACTGCATTAGCTGTTATCAGATGGCTGCATGATGACTAAAACATCATCGTACCCCTGATTTTTGTACAATCTCAGTTTCTAAGAAAAGGAATGCAGGGAATAAGAAACATCAGGGATTGAAGAGCTGAGGGGACTTTTGTTAGGAAAACAAGTTTAGTGAAGGGTGTTGCATGACTGAGAGGATATCTTAGAGATGCTTGGTAATAACAAGTAGAAGGTGGCATTACAGTGAACAGAGTTGAAAGGTGAGGAAATTATTTTTTAAAATAAAACCCCCCAAACAAAACGCTTATTTGAAAGAACTGAAGAGTTCTGAAAGCTGAGGTAAGAGCATGCTGGGGCAGCGACTGCAAATAGAGCACTAAATTGAGTTGAATGGATTCAGCATTAAGTGGAAGCTGAAACTCATCTGGTATGCTGCTGAAGCAACATGCTGGGTCATCAGACAGCCCTCAGTGTGGAAGATGGTTTGTTTCTTCCACTGCCCTAAACTGTGTTCTGCAGTTCTCACATTTGCTGTGGGAGGGGAGGAGGTGACATAGAAAGGGAAGGGATCATGAGAGAAGGCTTCTCACTTACTGCACTTCATGCAGCACTGTACCCAGCACGTCTACTAGTATGACCTGGTGAAGTGGGCAGTGAGAAGAGAGCAAGCTGCAGAACTGGATCAAGGCACCTGTCAGTAGCTGTGAAGGAAGTGAAGTCGTATGTTCAAAGGAATGCAGGAAAGGATAATGTAGGCAGAGTTGGTCTTACAGCTGCTGGAGCTGTGGGTGAGACACGTGTATGGGGGAGGGAGCTACTGTGAACCTTGCCAAGGAAAGCAATCCAAGCTTGTTTTAACCAGCTTTTAAAGAAATGCAAGTGAGCATAATACTCCAGAGAGTAATAGTTACTAACTATGGAACCCTCTTCCTCAGGTAAAGCACAAGCTCTCCTGTCCTGTTCTAAATAAAGTACAGAGTAAATTTATCCATACATGTGATGTGGGCCCTCAGCAAGCATATCTGCATATTCTGCTCCTTCATTTAGAGTTGTTTGAACTAAGGCTATTGTAATGAAGCAGTGCCTGACAAGGCACTTAGAGCAGTTAATTAGCACAGAAGCCTTGAATTTGGCTTAAACCAGCAGTGGCTATGTGGTCAATGGGAGGGGGGGGTAATAGCTGCAGAAAAAGCTATTGCAAGAACAGGTGCCAGAATTTTACGAGAGACTTCCTAGCAATTTTCTCATGTTTTAATCTATTTAAACTTACTAGTTTTGATCACAGAATTTACCTTTTGCAAAAGCATTTACCCATTGTTTCAAAGACTTAGAAGTGCAGGAGCTTAACACTGATTTGTTCACTTAGGTTGTGTATGTGTCTGACTTCTTCAAAGTGAGAGGATGTACATTTCAACCAAAAGAAGACTCCCATACAACCCTACATGAGACTCCAACAAATGGAAATCACTTTGGCAGCAATCATCAACCATGAAGAACAACCCACCTCACCTGTCTTGCTCTCTGAAAGGAAAACAATTTCACAAGTCTAACTATGTAATATAAGTAAATGCCTTTAAGGGACTGCTGCTGCTCTCAGATGCTCACTTTACCTGTATATAGTAACATCTGCCACAGTTATTGTATATCTAAAATTTAAATTTCTGTTGGTTCAAGCTCTTGCTTAAAAGAAAAAGCTATTCAAATTGTAAATTTTTATTGAAAACATGGTAACAGTTATATTACGTACACTGCTGTTTGTACATGCCTTGTTGAAACAACTGTGGTTTAAATACACACCATTAAAAGAAATAATGACTTGAGCTGGAAGTAGCATGTGAAGCTGATGAACTTGTTCCGTAATGTGAATCTAGTACTGTTTTTAGAAGATACTTTCTGTTACAGGTAAAGGCTTGCAGCAAACACAATATCTCTCTTGATTTTTGTAATCCCTGTTAAAAAGGAAAACAGTATTAATATCCAGCAGTCATAACTGACACTATCACCATTTTAAGTACAGTTACAGGCACATAATACTTTGCAGTAATAGAAGTCATTGTACATCCATTTTCACTCACTAACTGGGTTAAACTCTCCATATGCATTAAAACACTACCTGTTTAAGTCAAACTTTATAACAGAGATGTTATGTGGAAACAGAGCAATGATGCTGTTTACCATGAAGTCAATACCAGAAGCTTGTATTACCAAATATTCCCCTACCTGTCACACCCACCCCCCAGTTTCTTTTCATGTGCTTTATAGAATTACTTCTTGTACCATGGAAGTGGAATACATACCCTCTGCAAACTTATTTTCCAACTCTGTGTTTCCAATGGCTTTTGCAGCCTGGCACATCTGCCGAAGCAATTCTTCTAGCCTTCTCATGCACCGAATTATGCTCCCTGGATAAAAAGAGTGAGGGAAAACTTTGTATCCCCTGCCACATGGTATCACTGAATAATTCAGTTGCTTGAGCCCACTTTGGACCAAAGCAATAGTTCCTTCTCCAACCATGTTCAATTTACCTAAAGCCAATGGTAAGAACAGCCATAGGCCTTAAGCTTCATTTCTGTTTAACAGTACATTTCTCCATCAGTCATTTCCTTGAAGCTATCTCCAAATGCTTGTCCTGTTCTTGTCTTGTTCTACTATCTCACAACCTCTAACTAATACCTAGTCAGAGGACTTTCTGGGCTGTTCAGTAATTCATAGTGGATATTTCTTTCAAGTACTTTAAGACTTCCTTCAAAAAACATACAGGTTTGGGGGATTCACAAGTTTGCTTCTTCAAGAACTACCACACATGGATTGGGGGGGGAGGGGGGGGGGGGGCTTTTTATTTTTATTTTTTGATAGCCCATCTTAGTATTCCAGTGCTGGTCAAGAGTCTGTGGACCACTAGACCACTCAATTGCATGCTTATAGTAATCCATACAAGCTCAGTCTTGACATAGCTCCTACACTGCAACTATTAATACCCACTGTAGTTTGTTACACATTAATCTCCTTTAACTTACTTCTCAGGTCAGCCCAAGTCACCGTAACAAGTTTCACAAAATTATCCTAATGCTTATGTTCTAGCAGCATGCAGACTGTGCTGTTTCATCATTTCCTCCAGCACCATCTCACACCTACAGTCAAAATTATTATATGCAAAATAACTGTAATAGGGTATATATGAGGTAAGTGGATTGAGAGCAGCCCTGCAGAGAAGGACTTGGGGGTACCAGTGGATGAAAAGCTGGACATGAGCCGGCAATGTGCACTTGCAGCCCAGAAAACCAGCTGTGTCCTGGGCTGCATCAAAAGTGTGGCCAGCAGGTCGAGGAAGGTGATTCTGCCCCTCTACTCTGCTCTCGTGAGACCCCACCTGCAGTACTGTGTCCAGTTCTGGGGCCCCCAACATAAGGAAGAGATGGACCTGCTCAAGTGGGTCCAGAGGAGGGCCACAAAAATGATCCAAGGGCTGAAATACCTATGAGGACAGGCTGAAAGAGTCAGGGTTGTTCAGCGTGGAGAAGACAAGGCTCCAAGGAGACCTTATTGCAGCCTTTCAATACTTAAAGGGGGCTTATAAGAAGGATGGGGACAGACTTTTTAGTAGGGCCTGTAGCAATAGGATAAGGGGTAATGGTTTTAAACTGAAAGAGGGTAGATTCAGACTAGATAGAAGGAAGAGGTTTTTTTGTGATGAGGGTGTTGAAACACTGGAACAGGTTGGCCAGAGAGGCAGTAGATGCCCCATCCCTGGAAACATTCAAGGTCAGTTTGGACGGGGCTCTGAGCAACCTGATCTAGATGAAGATGTCCCTGCTCATTGAAGGGGGGTTGGACTAACTAGATGGCCTTTCAATGAAATACTACCTCTAGGCAAGGCATAATAGGTGGAGAAAAACTGTCTATATGAGAACATTGTACAAAGCTGTTGGGAAAGTGAGAAGAAAAGTAAAATAACACTTCTCTTCTTAAAAACATTCAGTAGGCCATGTCAGTTTCTACAGTAAGAATAGTTTTTGTGTCTGAAAAACCTATTGCAAGGACTTGAGGTCAAAAAACCCATGTGTAGTCTATTGGACACAAAGCCAAAGCAAGTGAACCGCAGGCAGCTCCTCCAAGCATGGCCATGCTGTGCTGTGGCAGGCCCCAGCTCAGCTCTCAAAGATCCTGCTTGTCTCCATTTACAAGATCAACTCTGACAACTGATCCAGGGAGTACTCATTTACAGGCACCACAGCTCGGGTTGTTGCAGACATTCATTTCTTGTGCATGAAAAAAAAATGCATTTTTCAAATAAATGAATAAATTTTGTCTATACTTCCACAAAACAAAACAGTTGATGTGCAGTTGATTAATAGGATACTTGGCTCAGTTTACCATTCTTCCCTACAGCTTTAAAAAGCTTCTCTAATTCCTGTTTCTTCCCAACACACACATTTCAGCTTAATGACAACTCATTTTCATTAGCCAATCAACACTGCTCCAATCTGTGGCAAACACGCTTGCTCTTGGAGGACTCTGGCTTATGCAGCAACCTGAAAAGGCAGCCATTTACTTACCACAACTATGAGCTTTCACACTACTCATAACTGCACCCAAAAGGGATTTCAGACACTTGACCATCAATAGTAATAATAAAATAGCATCTGTCTTTAGGCTTGTGAGAGTAGAAGCATGCCATCAACTCAAGATTTCTGTCTAGAAAAGTTTCATGAAGAGGACAGTCTTTCAGAAAGCACTTTTAATAACTCTGGGGGGTGGGGTGGTGATGAAAATCTGGTTTAAAAGAAGTGGTAGCTTCCAATGCACACCCTAATGGCTGGACAATTTTCTGCCTCCTTACTAAAACTGGTGCACAACAGTGAAGCTGGGACTCCCTGTAACAGCAGCAACTCATTGCTAATTCCGCATTGCCCAAAAGGCAAATACGAAAAGTATACCTCCTTTTAGAGCTTTAATAAGCCATCGTGCTGTACCTCATGGTAACAACCTCTATCAAAATTAAGACGGGAAGCACTAATACCTAAAATGAAAATTTGTACTTAAGATCAAAATAAGGACACTGTGGTTTGTGTTTTGTTGTTTGGTTTGGGGTTTTTTTGTATTCTGGTTTTTAATTTCTTTGAAATCACTACAGTGACTTGGCTAACCAGGGCAAACTCCCCTGGGATTTAGCAACACCACACTGCAATTAAGGTAAGCGTACTGACAGTATACGTCTGAAGTGCTTTCCTTCCTTCTGGGCAATGCACAGAAAACCAGCCTATTAAAAGTTAAGGGAAGAATTATGTGTCAACCCCTGCCACAAGAGATGATAAACTTCTAAAAATAGGTCCAGAAGATCTAATTTTGAGGGAGCTAGCTAGGACTAGTCCTAGGACTAGGACAAAGCTGACCAACTGGCCTTAGCCCAAATATGGTAAATGGAAAACATTACTGCCCTGTGTATTCTGAACAGTCAAGTGCCAACATAAAAACGTAAACCAGCTACTGCTACTCCTTTTGTGTTCCCCTTACTCAGGGTGCCTCTACAGCAGATGTAAGGGCCAGACATTCATTACAATAGAAGGAATCTGCTGAATGCAGAATCAAAGACTGCCAGGATTCCTGTTGCTTGCAGTAATCTGCTTTAGAAAGTTCCTGGGTCTATGCATTGGATTAGAAAAGCGCATTAATTCCTTTAAGGGCTCTCATTTGCAACTGTGTACATACAAACAAAGAAATAGCATTTGAGAGAGGCAAGACAGTGGTGACAGTTAACTTCAAAATGGATTTTCAAATATCAGTCATTACACACAGACTTGTAAGACTGGTGCACCCATCCTACTGTTCTTCAAAACTTTCAAAATAGCTGTTAAAAGATGAAATTAGGTTTTTCATTCTGGTTTGACCTTTAGGTGGATGGTTTGTCTTTTTACAAACTATCTGGGCTTTAAGTCATCCTACTTTTAAAATAACAAAAACTAAGTATCCTTCCTCAAGATGCAGTTTCTAGTTCTCCAGTTTTAGGAACCAAATTAACCCAGGTGACATGTTACATCTAGGCTTTTCAAATACCTGCACTGCACTGCTGTGATAAGCCATCCAAAACAGAGACTTGGTTATCACCTCCCACTTCTGTCACCAGTCAGCAGGAGGAACCTTCAAGTTACCAAGTAAATAAAACACTTAACTGTAATGAGGACAAGCACAGGAGCTGTACTTCTTAATGGCTAACATTTGGAACATGGTATTTTTCCCTTTAGCTAGCAACGGTAAGCATTACCTTGTGTTGCAAAACTTCAGATTTCTGAGTTTTATAGAAAGTTTTTAAAATGTAGAGATGTCCATTTTAAAAGGTCTTCTATAGATTCTAAATTATCAGCAGTGTAACTATAAAACATAGTAAATTATTTTTTTCCCCGCTTAGTTTCAGCTGTGCAGATACTTGAATACATCAGAGTTAATAAATCTTGTGATCTCTTAAAAGGTTATTCAGAATTACCATTCCATGTTATGGAATTACCATCTCGCACCTCCTAAAGAACTCATTAACATACCTTCAAAGACATCAGTCATTTTGCAGATGTGAGCAAAGTTAGCTCCATTTGCCCATGTATACACAACATCCATCAGGTTGGGTCTGAAAGAATTTAAGTAATTTTCTTCATCAATTTCCAGTTTTGCTTCTGCTGACACCTTGGCAATTCTTTTTGCACACTCCTTTAAAATAAAATATTTTAAATTTATAGTATGCTTAAATGGATAAAGTGTTTAACCGATAGAAAGGTTTGAATATTATTAGGTACTGCATACTGGATGAGGTTTCCTTTTTAGTGTGAAA